TCTCTCTCTCTGTCAAATAAATAAATAAAATCTTAAAAAAAAAAAAAGGCACTGGCTCTAGCTTAGTGACTCCGTGAATGCTGGTCAACAGCTCTGTTGAGGCACAATTGACCTGGAGTTTCGTGAATGTGGACTTTTTTAAAGTGTAAATTGAAATGAAGCTCTGGGATCTGAAGGCAAATTGTTTAGTGTTAACACAAGAAACTTCCATGCAAGGCTATCTCACATATAACAATATTCAGGATAAGCAGTATCCACCTTGTGGGGCCAAGGTAATTGGGCAAAGGCTTACTCACAACTAATTTTTATTTTTATTAAATAGGGACTTCTGAATCCAGCTTTAGACAATGGAAGAAAAAAAGAGGTGGGGTTGGAAGCTGCTTTGGCACTTCTCCTGAAGATAACTGTGATATATTCCAGAAGTTTTCCTATCAACATCTCCCACCTCACCTACTTCTCAGAAAAGGGAATTCATGTTCAAGATACTGGCATGGGAAACAGAATCTGAAAAGTGTCTGTCTCCTCCCCACGCTTCTGTGTCCAAGGACAGGACAGTTTCTAGGTAATAGATTACAAACAACCCAAAATAGTAAAGGAACTCTATGAGAAAATGAAAAATTAATACAAATGAATCCCAGCAAAAATGAGAACAAGAAGTGAAAGTGGGCTCCACAGACTCTATCTTCTAGAATAATTAATTCCATATGTGAATATCAGGCATGACTATAAACTTAATTCCATTCCGGGAGTTGTCGGAGGTAGAGAACTTACATTTTATCCCACTTTTAAGGAGACTCTAAGGGGTTTATGGAGTGAGACTAACATCAAAGAGAGAATTGGAGAAACTGTAAAGCAATGCTGTTGATGTTCTTATGTTTGGTGATTAGCACAAGAGCCAGAAAGGTTAGGAAAAGGGAAAACCTGGTCCTTGTCTCCCTGAATTCCAAGCAAGTAGTTTCTCCATGTTACAGAGTTGTTTCTTGTGCTGGTCCCCTCAGGGCTGTGGGCTCAGGGGTCCCCAGAGGTTCATGAGAGAAGTTCCACACTCTATACCCACCCCTTCATTTCCAAAAGCAATAAAGCGACCCCTTCTCATCCTGACCCCACACCTGCACATACCAGGCAATTACTAGTCAACATCCCTCCGACCCGAGATTCGTGGGCAAATATTTTTGGAAGGATTTCAAATTTATCACTCATACTTTAAATCAATTTAATCAAATTACTCATCTAAGGCAGATGCATTGAGAAAAGAAGAGCTTGGGTGGCAGTTTGAGAAAGAAGCAAAAGGATGAGCAGGGTAGTGTGGAGGTAAGTCAACAGGAGGCAGGTGAAACCTTGAAACAGACCCTTGAACACTGAAAGCCATGTACTCAGAAGAAGCAGGACAAATGGGATGAGGAGGGGAAGGGCAGGGCAGGAGGCTTGCTAGGACTGCCCTGCTCTCCCCAGCACCTCTTCCTCTGTGGAGGTAGGGAGGAGGGCAAGAGGCAGCCAGTACTGAGCTGACTCCTCAGGGACCTTCAGAGGAATGAGGGGATGAGGGCAGCCGGTGGTCAGGACAGAGGGCTTACATGCATCAACATTTCAGGTCACGGGTAGGTGCACCAAAATCATATTCAGGAAAAACTACAGCCTCTTCTCTCTACTCTGATTGTTAAAATTAAAAACAAATATTTAGGGGCTGAGTCGGTTAAGCATCTGACTCTTGATTTTGGCTCAGGTTATGATCTCAGGGTCGTGAGATAGAGTCCCACTTGGAGCCCTGAGTGGGACTTTGTGCTCAGTTCCGAGTCAGCTTGAGATTCTCTCTCTCTCTCTCTCTCTGCCCCTCCCCCACTCACGGACGTGCGTGCTCTCTAAAATAAATAAATAAACAAATATTTAGTTCCGATCTTATTAGGCACCCTTACTTGTAAAGTGATCATCTATGGGAAAATTGCCTCCCACCTTCCCTCCTGTTGCCAAAACCTGCTATGGATGCCCAAGGACACAGCACACGTCCCAGGGAACAAGGACTCCACAGGATGGGATCCTTTGGGAATAACGTGACAGAAGACCCAACTCTGGATTCTGCACCCTTTCAGAAAGGAAGAAGAGATCACTGATAGAGTCCCCAGAAACTGTACAATCACCTGATAGCAGGGACATTTTCCCAGCAGGCTCTGGGAGATGATTCTTCTCACACTTGACTACATTTTAATCCTGATGCTTAGAAAAAGTGGGCTCTCAAGGAGAGACGTGCCATCATTTTGTAGGATTAACATCCCCTACACCTATGCCAGCTGTTTGTTTCTTCGTTTGTTTTGTTTTTGAAGCTTGGACCCCATTCAACACACCCTAAATCCCTCCTCTACCAAACTGATGAGATTTCAATGTCAAGCTCTTAAAGAAGATCCAGGGACTGATTCAGAAAAGAGAGGACCAACTGTGCAAAAATGGACTGAGGAGTAAGCCAGCCACGAGCACACAGCTACTCCCAGGGGACACAAGACAGAGGAATGAGAGAAGATTCCCCCTTGCACCCAGGTCTCCATCTCTGGCACAGCCCCTGAAAACAAAGAAAAATTCTCATTCCTCTATTGGCTTAACAATACCTGCTCTCACTTTTGGAGTACAGAGGGAGATGGCGTTATTTCCCTAGTTTCAGAATGGTGTGTAAGTGCTTTTGTCACGAAAGACTGTCACCTTAGACTAGCTTTCCTTAATGCCCTAAGGCAGCATGTGTTGTTGGAAGGAGAGAGAAATCTCCTTTGTTTTGTTGAAGACTGATAATTTCCTGAGGTCCTTCTACTGCTCCCTGCTTGTTAAGGGAACTCAAGAAAAGTGCTTTCCTTCTGCACATCTTGCCCCCATATTTTCTCATGCTCTGGCTGTCTTGTCTCTTTGGGTTGGAAATCCTTAGGCAATCCCAGAATTCTCTTCCATCCATGAAAGTTGATGCTTTATGGTTTCCCACTTGCCAATGTTCTTCCCCTCCATCCAAAGAACATCCAAAGCCTCCTCAAGTACTCAACTTATAACCCAAAGGATCCAGAGATCTGACATGGGAAACATGCTGGCATCACAATGCACAGGGTTCTAGATGGGGTTCTTCCCCTCCACCCCCTGTCCCCATCTCACCTTTGTGCTCATCATCAGTGCCTACAATTCTCTATACTCGCCATCGTTGCCTTCTACTTTCTCGCTTGTAAAACAGCAACCTCTCTCTGAGTGAGGGAATTTAAGGCATCTTTATTATTTTAATGCGAATTCCCTGGGTCAAACAGATCTACATGAAATTTGAAATATATAAATGGATTCCACAACTTAACAAAAACGTCTAACATTTAATGTATCATTTTGTTACATTTGTGTGTGTGTATGTGATTAGAACTGGGTTTGCTGCAGTATTATAAATAGACATCTCTATTTTCATTAGAGTGCCTTCTCTCTAACATCCCACATTCATCCATTCATCCAACAAGCCTGCCTTATGGACATCTGGTATACCAGGTACAGTGCAAAGGGCTGTGGATGTGGAGTGAGCAGTTTGTCCATCCAAGGAACTCAGATGCTTTAAAGAAGGATGTGATCAACTTTCCCTCATTCACCATGTTCCTCAAGCATGAGTAGGTAAGGCTACCACATCCTTTACAAATGAAAAGAGAGAGCCCTTCAAGTAACATTTCCTCAGGTGGTAATCACCGACCAAACTTGAACTCATCAAAATGGAAGGGCAGAATTTCTTGGCATCATTTTAAATCAAATGGATGTTTAATATTAGAGCTTATTTACCTTAGCAAGATTTTTCTTCCAAGTGGGTCAAAATGAGATCTGATATCTAAAGAATTCTATTCTGGCGCTGCCCCTAACTGAACTTGGAAATGGTACTCTGTATCTGACAAAAGGTTTAGGAACCCCTATGCCTAACTATTTGAGGAGCAATTATAAGAAGAAGAGAGCAAAATTTCTTATTAAATATTTTGTATACCCAAAGGAACAGAGTATCATGTGCTTGGCTAAATAGGGTGGGGGACAACTGGAGGGAAGTAGGGCAGGGAGAAAAAGAAGAAAGGAAGATGTATGTCAGATAAACTGGAGCTCTTCCAGCTTCAGGGATTAGGCAGGGAGAACAAGATTTAGACCAAAGGTAAGCAGGATGGGAACCAACCATCTTAGTGAAACAGACGCAAGGGACTCCAA